ACTAATCTCAACTCTTTCTAATTCTGCACAGGAATCTGCACAGCCAAATGCCTCTATTCTTTTTTCTTTCTATTCTTGCTCTTTGTCAATTGTCCATTAGCCTTTCTAAGTTTATGCTGTTTCCCAACTTGAAACTCAATAGTTTCATCCCTCTTATATAAATCCTACACATCCTTTAAAACCAAATGTGTGCCATTTCCTCCAAGAAACTTTCCCTGCCCAATAAATTTTTGTGGCAATCACTTGGCATTTATTATGAGCCAATTTTTATTTAGTGTTATTCTTATATACTCTTTCTGATTAAATTATGAGTCATCGAGGAAATAACCACCTTTTACTCCTGTATAGTCTCAGCATCTAGCACAATGTCTTGCACAGACTTTTTTATTAAGCATTATACTTCGATACTTCTAACTATTCACAAATATTTACATAACTGTTACATTATACACAAGCACATACATTTTGTAGTACTATAAAATTACAAAGTGTAAGCAATAAGGTTGGTTTTTCTGTTGAATGGGTTAACTCAACTATTTTATAATTTTATAACAGTTTTTCTTTTGACTTACACAGCAATTAAGGCAAAAGAAGCAAACCTTTAGAAACTTTATTTCTCTCGTTGCAATTTTGTTGATAGATTTTTCTGGTTTCTCATAGAATATCTTAATGGCCACTATCTGCCCAGTATCCTTATGTTTACATTTCATTACTGTTCCGTAACTTCCCTCTCCCACTTTTCCAAGGGTTTCATACATCTCCATTTTCAAAGCCTGGTTTCTACTTCTTCATAGAAATAAAGAAAGAAAATGGAAAATGTTAAACGTTCACACTTTTATTTATTCAAGCTGGATAATGTATAGACCCAGTAAGCCCCCACTTTCAAATCGGAAACGGAATAGTAATCTTTTCCACAAAGCCCGTGTGCCTCTGGGAATTATGCCTCCTCGGCAATCAACGTGTCTTTGAGAGGCTTCAATCCTCACCAGAATGACCGTTTTCTCGGTCATTCCCATCAACTTTGAGATTCCCTCACTACTTGTCACCATGTGTCAAGCGCGGGGTCCCCACACTTCCTGCTAGGGGCAAATTAGAGATTCCCGCACTAGTGCAGTCGCCCACACAACATGCCACGGGTCCTAGCAAAGCCTCCTTCCCGCCCACTCCTCAAATCCGCGTCCCGGAATCCCGGACCGGTGTAGCGCCCCTCGCCGGCTGTCGACTTTATTCCGGCAGCCGCCGCCTCCTCAGCCCATTCCGTAATCCCACTGGCCAGGCTCCGCGCAGCCCCAGCCAGGCGAGGGACACCGACCCTACTTTACCGGTTAACTTCCACAGCCCTAGGTCGCCGGCTACCATGGCAACGGTGTGGGGCGGGGAGGGCGCTCCAGCCCTAGTACCCAAGACCGGAATAACTGTGGGGTGCCGACCCGGAAACAGAAGCGAGTGGAAAGTGGAAATGTGCTTGGAGGTGGGGGAGGGAAATACAGCTTGCTGTCGCAGTTGGAGAGTCCTCAAAGGTTGGTTTTGATCCGGGAACCGGAGCGTCCACATTTTGGCTGCAGCGTAAGTGACTGCAAATATTTAGGGAAGGGAAGCCGAGGTGAAAACTTTCCCGACCTGCGTCGCAGATGTGCCCGGGTCGGAGAATACCAGCTGCTTCTCCTGGGTCCTAAAAGGGTAGCTGTGGTAATTAAACAGACAGCTTGTAAAATCATATTTCCAAAGTTTTGTGTGATACAGTTTCGCCAACTGCATTAATATTCCCATGTAGGAGTGTCAACAGTTGACATCCATCCTCAAAACGTGGATAAGATGGTTCTTTAACCAAGAACTTTCCTTGGTCTGGGGGTATAGCTAGCTCAGTGTCAAAACGCGTAATTAGCACGCGCCGAGGCCCCGGGTATCAACTGTTTGCCTTCTAAATTTTTCCAAATCTTATAATCTCTTAAAAACTCCCTTACTACACGTGAGAACTCTAAAAGGTACTCTTTAGAAAAACAATTCTAAGGGTCCTACCATATATAATGCACTAGGGCGCGGGGCGTGGCGTGGGGAGGAGCCAGTGTCTAATTGTTTTAAGAAGTAGACCGCTTTAATTCTAGTGACAGCCTTCAGTGAGTAAAAAGTATATCATGAAGCAAGTGCCTCGGGTTGTGCTGTCTTTATGGGAGCTTTAATTTCGTAGTTCTGTAAAGTGTTCAATGTAAATAGTTATGCTTCCTTTAAATAACAGGACAGACATTATTTTCCACTAATTGTAGTCTAGTGGTTCCCATCCAAGCATCCACATACCTGGAGAGCTTTTGAAAAGGCCCCAGATATTCTGATTTAATGGGTAAAGAAATTAGTATTTTTAAGTCTTCCTAAGTTTTTGTACGCTGTTGCTGTAGTTTACATGAAGGAGAAATACTCATCGTTTTTGCCACCCAAAATATTCAGAATTGTCTGTTTTCCAAAATTTACTCAACCATATTGTAAAATAATTTCTAGCTAGACACCATGGCGTAGACCTGTAATCCCAGTTACTAAAGATGGTGAGGCAGTAGGATCACAAATTTGAGGCCAATCTGGGCAATTTAGCCAGACCCAAGGCCCTGGGTTCAATCCAACAAAATAATAATTTCTGTGTATAAATAAGAATGTAATAGATGAGTCGAGCACAGTGGTGCACCTATATAATCCCAGTGAATGAGAAGGCAGGAGGATCCCAATTTTGAGGCCAGCTTCTGCAATTTTGTGAGACTTTGCCTTAAAAAAAGCTGAGGATGTAGCCCAATGGTAGAGGGCCCCTGGGTTTAATCCCCAGTACTGCAAAAAATGAAAAGTTATAGATATAGTGAATTGAGATTAGCATATTTATTCAGTATTTGTTGTGGTTAAGTTAAATAAAGCATGAACCAGACTCAGTTCCTGAACTGCAAAATTACTACAGTATATAATTAGAGCTTTAAGACTATTCTTTCCACAAATAGGTTTTGGCAGGCCTGGTGACCAAGATAGAGTGTGATTCTTGACTTTTTTTGGGGGGATGGTATTACCAGAGACCGACTTCAGGTGCACACTGAGCCACATCCCCAGCCCTATTTTTATTTTATTTAGAGACAGGGTCTCATTGTGTTGCTTAGCACCTTGTTTTTGCTGAGGCTAGCTTTGAACTCAGGACCCTCCTGCCTCAGCCTCCTGAGCCGATGGGATTACAGGCATGTGCCACTGTGGCTGGCTTCCAGTGTGATTTTTGCAACTACTGCCATCAGACTTCAAGAACCACATTTACTGATTGATATAAGTGTTTCTGATCTTTTCGAAAATTATAAATTCCCAGTTTTATAAAGTTATAAATTGTTAGATAAAAAACATGACTTTTTTTGGGGGGGTTACTGGGGATTGAAGGGGGGTTGTGCCCTTTACCGCTCAGCTATATCCCCAGCCCTTTTAAAAATTTTTTTATTTTGAGATGGTCTTGCTAAATTGCTGAGGATTTCCAAATTGCTGAGGCTGGCCTCAAATCTGTGATCCTCCTGACTCAGCCGACAAAGTTACTGCAATTACAGGCTTGCACTACCATGCCTGGCTACAGGGATTTCTTTTTAGAAATATAGTTTCTTTTTAGCATTTCATTGCATGTAACCCTGCACTTAGGTTGCCCTCCCTAGTTTTGGAGAAGATTAGGATTGTTAACTGCGGGAAGTCAAAAAATTAAGAATATTGACATGTGGAATCATATTATGAATGCACAGCAAGATTTATCAAGTGTTAGGCTTGGCTAACATATTCACCAAGGTTAAAAGCAAGTGGTAGAATTTAAGGTTTGAAGAAAGGAGGTATCACGAAAATGGGAACTTTTCCCACTTTAATTCTTTTTGGTTCCATGAAAAGAAAGAGCATGGGCAAATGTGAGGGTTAGTGTTAGGGATCTCATTTTACCTCTTGCCCTGATGAGCTGAAGAATTCCCCAAATGTATAGACAAATTAAGTGCTCAGAATTCTGACCAACCAAATCCTAAAGGCTGGAATTTTAGGCTAGAGAGAGAGGGAATTGAGTGATTAAAGAAAATTGGAGGGGGGGCACTTCCAGACTATTTGCACCATCCTTGCTAGTGTAGAAAACCTGGAATGAAGTATCTCAGGCTAGATACATATCTTCAAAGAAAAAAGACCCATAGAGGAAAACTAAATTCCATAGTTCTGAGGATCTTTAAGGGTTGGACATCTACATCATTCTTTTTAGCATCGCCACAAATTTCCAACACCAGACACCACACTAGAGTGCAGAAACAGGGTATTTGGTAGTCCTAAGGAAGCATTTCAGGAGATTTTACTATGTGTGGGCCCCAGCACTAAATGTTGCATTTATTAGAAGGTAGGCAGATACTTTTGAGTCATCCTCTCTGCCCCAAGGACCAGAGTTTATAAACCAACAACCAAATAGAGACAAATTAAGTCCAAAGTATTTCTGATTCAATTTTGAAGACAAATCAAAACAAGCTGTCTATTTGGTAAGGACGACTCTGAACTTGGGACAAACAAGAAAAACAACCAATAAGCCCCAAAAGTTAAAGGACCCTTACATAGACCTGTCTGAAAGTCAGATCCAGGCGACGTTCTCACGTGACCGGTTCTAATCACGTCACAGGGACACGTGGTTCTAGATATTTCGTCCCCTCCCCCTCAGGGGTGGATTGTTGACAACGCCGCCAGCAGTCACGTGATCTTACGTCACCCACCTTTCCCTGAAATCTCTGGCCCCTGATGCGTCCCTCTCCCCATCCCGCCGAACCTAAACTAGTGGCGGGGGAGGGGGAAGACAGAGTAATGTTTCGATTGCGGTGTCTCTTAGTCCACATTCTTTAGTCCGAGCGCGGAGAACACAATTTCTTGTTAAGTTAAGAAGGCCAAAATGGAAACGGTCCTAGTCAAGGGGCTCCCCGCACGGGCCCCCACACGCCCCGCCCCCTTCTCCCCCACTCCTTGCTCTGTGGTACCGGCGGAGGGCGGAGGGATCTGGAGGCGGCGGAGGGAGACGTCATTGCAGGGTTGTTTGTGCAGTCTCGGCGGCGGTGGTGACCCACAGTGATTCGGCCGCTGCGCCGGGGGGTGGGGGGGCTGCGCGGGACTCTTTTCTTTCAGACTGACCGCGGGGCAGCTGGGGAGCATGTCGACCCCGGCCCGGAGGAGGCTCATGCGGGATTTCAAGCGGTAAGGGCCTTCTCCTTCGCCGAGATGACCCCCAAAGCTGCGGGTCTGCAGGGCGGGGATCCCGGACATTTTCCCCTTATAACCCTAAGGGGACCACCAGTGGGCCCAGGGGGACCGACGGAAGCCCAGTCGTAGTCTTGGCTCCCACTCCGTTATCCTTATTGCTCACTCTGGCAGGGTAAAGATATCGATACTACTACCCTTCACCCCTCCCTAAAAAAAAGTAAAAAGGTGGCGATCAGCTTGCCTAGGGGTCTCTACTGTCCACTTAGATCAGATGCCCGACGTCTCTCCCAAGCGCTCAAACCTTGTCTCCCACCTCTGCACTCTGTAGCGCCCCCTCCCTACCCCTGAAAGTGAGCTCTTGCAGGCCGCCTGGGCCTCGCCTGCTGCAGTCAGCTTTGTTTCAAGGCCTCTGGTCTCCTCCTCTTTGGAACAGTATTGGGGCGACCCCCATCCCCCCGCGCTCTCTCGGCCTTCAGTGAGGGTGGGGTATACTGTGAGAGGTCCGGAGGTGGTTAACCCAACCCCCGAAACCCGACTCTACCCCCGCCCGCTTGAAAGGACCTTGAGAGCTGGCCTGGAGACACGGGCCTCAGGCTGCCAGTGCTTTCTGGAACACGGCTCTGGCTGGTGAATAAAGCCCTATCTATAGCCTCCCGTCTGGAAAAATGCCTTCCTTCATACTGGTGCTAACCTGATACTCCTGGGTCTTCTTTTGTAAAGTAAGGTTTTGTTAGGCGGTGTGGGGGTTAAAGGAGGAAGTAACTTTTTTTTCAGTTTACCTTCTGTTTAATATTTACGAGTACAGAAACAAAATAGTTCAGAAATTTAGCGTTAAGGTTTTTGTTTTGTTTTGTTTTGTTTTTGCTGGGGACATTAACCCTGGTTGAGATAAATATAAAACTTAGATTTGCCGCTCAGGAAGTAATCTCATAACTTCGCCATTATTGTGTGTGGCTTTTGGAAGCCATTGTTTTGGGCCTTGGCTAACAGGCATTTAATTCATTCGTGGCTTCTTTTAACCACTTAAGTTTAGGCCTCAAGCCGTAGTTTCCTCCAAAGCTTCTGTTCATCGTAGGTTAATTTACCTGAGGTTGACAAAACAGTACCATTTTTGTGTAGACTAATTGCAAAGTATTTTGCCAGGTGAAAATGGCTATATATATTTATATAATAGGTTTTTTGTTGAGGTCTTTAAATGGTGAAAAAAAATCGTCTTGAAATCAATAGGTTTGATTAACTCCCATGACTGAAATTCAGATAAAACTTCCAGTTTATGTCCACGTTCTCTTGTTCATTATTGCAATTCTTTGCTTAATTCTGAGTTGAACGCCTGGCACCTCTGGTAGTTTTCCAAGGGTCTTCAGGTTACAAGAATTTGACTGTGACGACTGTTGGAAGCTTTGTCTTGAATCTCCTGGTCTGAGAGGTTGATTTGGCATTAGTACAGAGCCTTTAAAATAGAGAGACTCCTGGAATACCTGAAGCTTCTGATTACTTTTAAAAGCCATTGTTGTGGGAACTAAAGGAGATGAAGTAAAATTCCTGCCTAAAACAGTTTTCTAATTAAATTGAATGTGTTTTTAGTCATTAGGGTATACACAAAGGTTTGCGTGGCTTTTTTTTTTTTTTTTTTTTGTAGCAGTTTGCACCAGCAGCTGTGATTAGGACACACAGTCTTTGCATATTGATGGTTCCGTAAAAATATTTTTTGCTATTGAGGTTTTAAATAGCTATTTTTTTGGTTCAAGGGGACAGTCATACTGTACACATCAATTCTTAAAGAGAAAATAATCTTAATCTTTTTATTTGAAGAGACATGGTCCTTAAGCACTTCAAGTTTACAGATAATTTGAAGAGTTATTTAATAAATGTGTATACTTGGTTGATATAATTCTTATGGTTTGTTCCTGTTCAGCACCATAACAAGGAAATGGATTTAGTTAGTTTGTGTCTCAAAATTAATGGTATAGAGTTAGTAGGTGTTCCGCTTGGCCTCCTTGGTGACCTCAGTGTTCAACTTTGAAAATTACCACCCTGGATTTCTAGATTGCAAGAGGACCCACCTGTGGGTGTCAGTGGTGCACCATCTGAAAACAACATCATGCAGTGGAATGCAGTTATATTTGGGTGAGTTGAAAGATTTACCAAATACGAGGTGTGTGATGAATCTTTAAGAAAAGTTAATATGTAACAATTGTCTAGGAAAGGAGATTGACGTATAATCAGGGACCTTAATAAGAGCTGAAACTGCAATATAAATTGGGAAAAAAATTTACATTTTATTCATTTTGAGATACTGGATATTGAGTCCTGGGCCTAGCACATGCTGGCACTTGCTCTTATCACAAGCTACACCCCCAGCCCAAAGAAACATTTTAATGAGGTTGGGCAGGTATATACAATTTATTTACTCTTTGGTGTTCTTCTATTTTATTTTGGTTGGTTTTGTTGTGAAGGGTCTTAATGTGTTACTCAGGCTGCCCTAGAACTCCTGGGCCTTAGCGATTCTCCTGTGTCAGCCTCCCAAGTAGCTGGGACAACAGATGCACACCATTGCACCCAGCTACATATAGTTTTATAATTCCTTTAGGTGATTGACAAAAAATACTGTTTGAAACAAAGTAGAATGGAATAACAAAGGAGAAGAAAAAGATTATTTTTTATAAAATGTGCTGTGCAGATGTTTATGATCATTCTGTTGGTGGAGCTTTAAAAAGGCTCAGAACCAAAAATACTGAGAACTTTCACTGTGGCAAGAATTTAACAGAAAAATTTCACAGCCCAGTGTGAAATAACTGAATGAAGCCATTTTATATAAAGTGAACTACTCTCTACCCAGTATATGTTTTATACATATTGCACATCTGCCTCCCCCCTCTTGGTGCTAGGGACTTAATCCAACACTGAGCTACATCGCAAACCCTTTTTATTTTTTTCATTTTGAGACAGGATCTTGCAGAGTCTTAGGCTGGCCTCAAACTTATGTACCACCTTGCTGGGACAGATGATATACTCAACTTTTTTTTTTTTAATTTTGGTATTGGGAATTGAACCCTGGGGCACTTTACTACTGAGCTGTAGCCCCAGCCCTTTTATTTTTAATTTTGAGATAGGGGGTCTCTGAGTTGCCCAGGCTGCTTTGAACTTGTGATTCTCTTGTCTCGGCCTCCTAAGTCAGTGGGATTACAGGTATGTGCCACCACATCTAGCCGCTTGTTTTTTTTTTTTAAACATTTATTCCTAGTTGTAGGTGGACACAGTATCATTTTATTTTTATGTGCTGAGGATCAAACCCAGTGCTTCACGCATGCTTAAGCCACAACCCAACCCTGAATATGCTTTTTGATTTAAAATTTTCAATGCCCTTTTTCTCCTTAGAGATCTGTTTTTCTTTCACTCTTAAAACTAGGGTTTTCAACTAAAATGCAAAGAATATTTTTCATAAACAACTATCAGCACAGACTCGGCTATAAGAGTGTACATTTAAGGGCTGGGGATATAGTTCAGTTGGTAGAGTGCTTGTCTCGCATGTACAAGGCCCTGGGTTCAATCTCTAGCACCACACAAAAGTACTTTTAAAAACTAGTGGGAAAAGAATGAAATTCATCCTTCTAGAATAAAGTGATTCTATTACATTCAGGCTGTTACTCTGCTTCTTTGAACTTTTGAATATGTCTTGCAAGTGATAAACTTCACGCTGCTCTTTAAGAAAGATTAAATGTGGATATGGAGGCAAGGAAGAGATCTGAGCATAGGACAGATATGGTGGTGCATGCCCCTATCCCAATGACTCTGGAGACTGAGTCAAGAGGATCTCAAGTTTGAGACCAGCAGCCTTGGCAACTTAAAGGGCTGAGGGTGTGGCTCAGTAGTAGGGCACCCTGTTTTCAATTCCCAGTACTACCAAAAAAGAAAAAATAATAATGTTCTAGCTATGAGCATCTGAGCATAAGAATCTGGTGATTTTTGTGATGCCAGCTTTGTTTACCTGAACAAGAGCTATTGCTGATTTGGAAAGCCAAATTTGGTTTGGTGTCGTAATTTCCTTAAAGGTTATTAATTTCCATCTTAAAAGCTATAAAGTGAAAAGATTACTCTTTCTGTTAAGATTACACATTTAGTTGGGCATTGTGGTACATGCCTGTGATCTCAGCCATACAGAAGGTTGAAAAAGAATATTGCAAGTTTGAGGCCAGCTTGGGACATTTACAGAAATCCTTTCTTAAAATATAAAAGGAACTGGGCACAATGCTGCACACCTATAATCCCAGCCATTCAGTAGGCCAAGGCAGGAGTATCACAGGTTCGGGGCCAGCCTGGGCACCTTAACAAGACCCTGTCTCAAAATAAAAAGGACTGGGGAATGTAGCTCAGTTTAGAGCACCTGGGTTCAATCTGTAGTACTCCAAAAAAATAAAAAAGAATATACATTATTCATAAGCTGATTTGGTTTTGTGCTGAAATCATGGACAAGTTTTGTTTTCATAAAACCACTCTAAAAGGAAAAGTAGAAAGTTTAAGTTATTATGCTTCTTTCAATGAAAATCCAAGGCTAAGGTGATATCAAACTCTACCATATCTTTAAAACATCACAAAAAAATCAAAATGAGCCCCTCTTTCTGTTGGAGTTTTATCTTTTTCATTTTTGAAGATCAGGGAAAAGCAATATTAAAAAACATCTTTTAATCAGAAATCTTCTTGTTTTCAGACCAGAAGGGACACCCTTTGAAGATGGTAAGTCATTCTTATTGTTTTCTATACTATTAAAAAGGGTACTTTTCTAGTAAGAAATTGTAACACCAATGTATCTACTTGAAGTCACATTCTATTGTTAACAAATCAAGTTAACTGAATAAAGCTACTGTGAAATTATAGTTTACAAGGGACTTTCTTCATATATCAGCTTGTATACCTACCTCCATTGCCAGTTCCTTCTGCTACTTTGTTATCTGCCTGTAGAACTGAAAGCATAAGTGGCATGGTCTATGTTGAGAACAGTTTATTTTAGGTGATCTTGTAGCATGATAAAGAGGTCCCTGAGGGAAATTGTTTTATTTTGCTATCTAATATTTATAGCTGGTTGAGCTGAAATTTTTCATCTCGAATTGGGTTTTTTCACCATGAGCCAGGAAAATGGAAAACTAGTTCTAATATGTGTATATACTTGAGTTTATCAAATTGATTTTAACCAGACACGATTTTCACTAATTATAGCATGACATTTTAAATATATTTATTAATTCATAATTAGTCCATCAAGGGTATTTGTACAGGAATACTGACTGCAGAACTATTTGTAAGGAGATAATCTCAATGCCTGGTAGGGGAAATGGTTAAGCAAATGATGATGTATATGGACTCTGGAAGTTATGTACCAGTTAAAGAATAAGGTAGATCTGGACATATGTCTGAGTAGGCAGAAAAGTTGCAGAATATGTTGTAACATCCCATTTTTACTAAACACATGTGTCTTAGAACATATGAACCACACTATTGCTAGCAATTATTTCTAGGTAAGGTAAAGAATTAAAGGAGGTACTTAAATGTCTTAGGTGGCACATGCCTATAATCCCAGTGACTCAAGAGACTGAGGCAGGAGGATTTCAAGTTTGAAGCCAGCCTGGGCAGTTTAGCAGGACCCTATCTCAAAACTTAAAAAATAAAATAAAAAGGGCTTGGATGTCACTCAGTGCAACTATTTTCAGTCCCAGTATTAAATAAAATAAAATGATGAAACTGCCGAAGTTGTTAGTATTAAATTCTCACCAGTGTATTCTTTGTGGGCTAGGCATGGCATTGGACACATGTAATCCCAGTAATTTGGGAGACTGAGGAGGATCACAAGTTTGAGGCCAGCCCTCAAAATAAAAAAATCAAAAGGACTGGGGATGTGGCTGAGTGGTTAAGTGTGCCTCCTGGGTTCAATCCCTGGTGCTTTAAAAAAACAAATTCTATGTGATGAAGTAAGAATTATGAACAAAGCACTTTCTCTACATACCAAACTATTGTGTTTGTCTGAAAGACAGACACTTCTGCAGTCGAGTTGCAACTTGAGCTACTGGTTTATTTTGGGTTTTGTTTTTTCATGGAACATTTTTTACTTGAATGACTGACAGGGCTGCTGATATAGCTTAGTGGTAGAGCACTTGTCTAACAGGCATGAGACCCTGCTTTTGATCATCAACACCAGAAAAAAACTGACAAGACTGTGGTTGTTCAAGTTTCAATATATGGCATATGTATTCTCAAAAGTGCCCCTAAGTAGGTTGATAGGTTAAGGAAAGCAATTGAAGATATGTGTTACTGATAGTAAAATGATGGTTTCCAAATGTTTAAAGACTTTTATGATGAGAATAATAGGTGATTATTAAGTAATGTGATTTTTTTTTTAATAGTTTATAATCTGGATGATCTGTATAACTTGAATGGATCAGTATTTTCCAGTTGTTGTGATTTTTATAGAATTGTGGATTGGTAAAAGATTTATGCATCTGGGTCTGGGTATTGTGTCTGGGGTTGTACCTCAATGGTAGAATACATGCTTGGCATGCACAAGGCCTCAGATTCAATTGCCACTAACAGCAAATAAGTAAAATTTATGCAGATTACAGCATATTTTAATGTTACTGAGTAAGAAAAGTTTGCTGAATTAGGCTTTCAGTTTGTACTTTACAAGAAATTTTTCTAATTACCATTTCTTTTGTGTAATATCAAAAAAGAATACAGTTATCTATAAAAGTCATGAAAGTACTCCTTTTTTGCTCACATATTTGTGTGAGAAAGGATTTTCTTCATTTACTATACTTCAACCAAAACAACATATTGTAACAGATTGAGTACAGAAGCAGATAAGGGAGTCCAACTGTCTTCTGTGAAGCCAATCATTTAAAGAGGATTGTAAAAATAATAAAATAGTGCTGTGCTTCTCATTAACTTTTTGTTAAATACACTACTTGGGTTACTGTGTGGTGGCTTTACAGTTTAATTAGAGATGTTTGAAGATTTTCCAGGTTGTGATTTTTTTCTGTATATTTATTTTTTAGATGTAGTTGGACACAATTCCTTTATTTTATTTATTTATTTATTTTTATGTGGTGCTGAGGAACGGACCAGGGCCTTGCACTTGCTAGGCAAGTGCTCTACTCTTGAGCCACAACCCCAACCCTAAGTTGTGATTTTTAATACAACAAATATCAATAGGTGTAATCAATGATTTGGTGGAAGCAGCCTGTACTAATTGATGAGAGCTTATTATTTAAATTTCAGAAGTTTTTCAAGCTGGTTACTAAAGAGCATTTATTTTAAAGTTAAATTACATCTGAAAGCTGGGCACAGTGACACATGCCTGTAATCCCAATGGCTTGGGAAGTCGAGGCAGGAAGATTGCAAGTTCAAAGCCAGCCTAAGCAAAAGCAAGGTGCTACGCAACTCATTGAGACCCTTTCTTTAAATAAAATAAAAATAGGGCTGGGGATGTGGCTCAGTGGTTGAGTGCCCGAGTTCAATTCTCGGTACCTACCCCCACCCCAAATTACATTTAAAAGCAAAGATTTTAGAAAGTGATAATACTCAAACCTCATCTTTCTTAATGTTTTATTGGTGAATTATAATTATATCTATAATTATGGCTAGGGCCCATTGTGACATGTTTGTGTATGCATATAACATAATTTGGTCAATTTCATTCCCCCATAACTTCCTCTTCCTACGCTCTTCCTTCCTTCTCCTCCCCTTTTTAGCTTTTTTCTCTATCTTCCACATGTCAAACCTCATCACTTTTTAATTATTTTTCTCTGTAGTGAGATAACTACAAAATGGTAACTTTTTGCATACTTCTTCCTGTTTCATGTCCACTTCTTGGCAATGATGGGACTAAGAATATTAAATGGTTCTGAGATCAAAAAGTTAAATATAGCTGTTTTATATTTGCCTGAAATTTTAAATTGTACAGCTATATAATTAAAATGTTATCTTTTACATATAACTCAGTATAACATGTACTTACTAGCATATGTGAAGTACCTCTGTTACATTAATATGTATACAAATATGAAATAATTACATTTAATGCTTGTATATTTGGCCTCCTTGATCCAAAATGTTCAGACAACAATGTAAAAAGGTAGAGATTATATTCTAAATGTATGACCAGTGGAGGTACAATATATTTTATTAAAAATGAACCTCTAACTTTGGACATTGGAGCGAGGAACTTAGAATTTAGCATTAGAAGAATTTAGCATTAGAAAAGCGTGTTATTTTAATTGCATTGGTGGAATAAGGAAAGACTTGCAGAAACAACTGTAATGATTTAAAGTTTTGTTTACTTCATTAGTAAGTTCAGCTTACCGAGTACGTCTAAGGAGCTGTAGTTAGAGGGCTTCTTCAGCCTTTACACATGTTCCTCTAAATGAAAGGACTCTAGATAAAAAGCACAAAAGAAGTCTAGAAAGGCAAACACAAAACCATTGATAGAGGCTATTTCTTAGAATTAGAACTAGAGTTGAAGGTCCTTTATGTACTCTGAATGTGTTGACTTTGTAACAAATGGATAATTTTTTAAAATGCCTGTTTCTGTTCACCATTAAATACTGATTTAGACTGACCAAAATACCAACAGTAGGCATTTACACAAAAGCTTAATGGTTCTTGGTATATTCAAATGAAGGGATTGGTATTGCGGAAAGAACTTTTCATACTAGCGCCCATACCTAATGTGGGTCTTTTGCCATGTGGTAGTCAGCCGCTCTCAGAATCTTTGATCTTCCCCTTCTAAGCTATGATAAACTATATGTAGTTCTTCAAGTACATTTTAAATCTTGGTAGCTAGGAACCAGTTGTCTTAAAAAAAATTATTCATATATATATATACACACACACACACACACACACACATATATATATATATATATATATATATATATATATATATATATCTGCCAATAGCATTGGGAATAAGCATAAAGTGCTTATTCCCCAAGTGCTTGCCAGTGTTGCATGTTGCCAGTCTAACATAGAGGTACGTTAGTATTTTTTGTATGCTGTACCAGAGTTCACATAGAAAATTTTTGTGTGGTTGTGCAAACGCCAGTATGGGTTTGAGAACTAAAAAACTTAAAAGTTGTGTTTCTCTTTAATTATTTTGGTTTGTTTTCTATCTAGGTACTTTTAAACTAGTAATAGAATTTTCTGAAGAATATCCAAATAAACCACCAACTGTTAGGTTTTTATCCAAAATGTTTCATCCAAATGGTAAGTAGCCATTTATTACACTTCACAAATGATTGGGGTAGGAGCTTCTTTTCCTCCTTTTAGGTCTTGTCCCTTACTTCTTTCAATTAGGGCCTACTGATAGATGTCCATCTTAGCTACATTGTTGTAGCTGGATTCTATCAAGCTTCCAAATTTGAGGTATTTTTTTTTTCTTTGTTGTCTTTTTTGTTTGTGGTACTGAGGATAATCCAGTGTCCAGGGGTACTCTACCACTGAGTCACATCCCAAACCCCTTTTTATTTTGGGACAGGGTCTTGCTAAGTTGCCTGGGCAGACTGTGAGCTTTCAATACTCCTGCCTCAGCCTCCTTTGTGGCTGGGATTACAGGCATGTACCACCACACCTGGAAAAATTTTTTTGTTTTAATAACTTCTGGGGGTGGGGTACTAGAGATTTAACCCAGAGGTACTTTAACACTGAGCTACATCCCCAGGCCTTTTTATTTTTGAGACAGGGTCTCATTAAATTGCTTAGGGCTTCACTAACTTGCTGAGACTGGCCTCCTACCTCAGCCTCTCCAGTTGCTGGGATTACAGGCATGCTTCACTGCACCTGGCTTGTTTTAATAACTTTTGAAAGAAAAGTAATAGGTATTTGTAGAACTGTGAACAATACCAAACTTTTTCATCTAAAATCTAGCTTTTAAAAAATACAAACTTGAACTGGGCCCAGTGGCTCGTGACGTAATCCCAGGGGTTTGTGAAGCTGAGTCAGGAGGATTATAAATTCAAGGTCAGCCTTAACAATTTAGTGAGACCTTGTCTCAAAATAAAATAAAGATAGGGGGGACTAGGGTTGTGGCTTAGCAGTGGAGTGCTCGCCCAGCATGTGTGAGGTCCTGGGTTCAATCCTCAGCACCACATAAAAATAAATGAATAAAATGAAGGTATTGTGTTCAACTACAACTAAAAAGTAAATATTATTAAAAATTAAAATAGATCTGGGTTTGTAGCTTAGTAATATAAAATGCCCCAAGATTAAATCCCCAGTGCCAACAAAAAAACAAAATTTACAACTTTGGGGCTAGGATGTAGCTCAACTGTAAAGTGCATACCTAGCATTCACAAAGCTGTGGAATTAGTTCCCAGTACCACCACCACCAAAAATAAAAAAGTTAATAGGGGGGAAAATACAATTTTGCTTATACATAATTGGCAATATGTTATATATGAATTTTATATTTGTGTATATATGTGTACATACACCCATGCATTGAATATTTTCCCTTATTAAATATTCTATATTCTGTGTATATATGTACATGCACTTTATATTGAACCCAAGGCCTCACACATACTAGATACTAAGTACCGGGCTACATCTCTGGCCTGAATAATTTTTAATAGCTATAAATGTTCTATTATATAGATCACCTAAATCTATTTAACCAATGTTGGTTTTTGGTGGGTTTGTTGTTGTTTGTTTGTTTTAATTTTTTTTTAGTTGTAGATTGACACAATACCTTTATTTTATTTATTCATATGTGGTGCCAAGGATCGAACCCAGTGCCTCACACATGCTAGGCGAGCACTCTACCACTGAGCCACAACCCCAGCCCTGTTTTGTTTTGTTTGCTTGTGGTACTGGGGATTGAACCCATGTTTGTGGTTTAAACAGCACATTGAACATTCTTGAAATGTTCTGAAATTCTTTTTAGGTGTCAGTTATTGCTTCTTTAGGAAAAGTTTTTTAAAATAAGATTTCTGGGTTAAAAGCTATTTGCATCATTACTTAGTCGAATGAATGAATGAATGGATAACTTTTGTAAATAAATTTGGTCTTCCTCGACTTCATAAAGTTTATATCTATTAGGTTTAGATTAGGAAATTTGGGGGTTGGTGAACACCTTGAAGTGCTGGAGGATATCTTGCCCAGAGAGGGAATAGAAGCTCCAGGCACATGCTCTGCCCCTCCCATGTACTGCCCCTCCCATGTACTGCCCCATGCATATCTTCACCTTAACTGCTCCCTAGTTATATTCTCTATAACAAACTGGCAAATGTAAGTAAGAAATTATCCAATATGGGTGTGGGAGTCATAGAAATCCCCAGTTTATGTTTGGTTGTTCAGAAGCATGGGAGGTATGGATTTATAATTGGTATCTGAAGCACAACCTTTTCTGTCATTGAGTTCTTTAACTTGTGGGACCGGGCACTAACTCCAGGTAAATGGTGTCAGAGTGAGTTGAATTGTAGATACCCAGTTGGTGTCAGGGAATTGGTGTGGGAAAAAACTCTTGACACATCTCTTGTCAGAGCTGTTATGCATATAGAGAAACAGTGTTTTTCACCAAAGTGTCATTTCATCCATAACAGTGGTTTCAACTGCCACCACCCAACCAAGGCACAGCTGAAGCTGTGTTTCTCGACTTGATTTTTCTCAGGATTTTTCTGTTAATAATACAGTAGCCCAGGGCTGAATTGTGGCTCAACAGTTGAGCGCTCGCCTAGCACAAGCTCGGGACCCAGGTTCGATCCTCAGCACCACCTAAAAATAAAGGCATTGTATTGTGTCCATCTACGCCTAAAAAATAAATATTTAAAAAATAATAATAATAATACAGTAGCCCAGCATGGAGGCACATACCTATAATCCAAGATACTTAGGAGGCTGAGGCAAGAAGATCATAAGTTTGAGACCAGCTTCATCGGCTTAATGAGGCTTTGTCTTAAAATTAAGAAGGAAAAACAAAACACTAGGGATGTGGTTCAGTCACTGGTACCACAGAAGAAAAAATAATTACGATGATTCTTGGATTATAAATTCTCATGAAAAACTACTTCTCAAAAACTTGAATCTCCTCTTCCTCCTAACTCTGTTCATTTAAATGTGGTCTTCCCTGTTAGGTAACTTATTGACAGAGGAATATTTTTGGAGGTCTTGACTTTCTCTTAGACTACATAATAGAGCTCCTTAGAGGAGAGATGTGTTTGTCTATGTCTGGAATCAAGGTGACCCACCATTTGGGCATCACTAATCTAAAATCCAAAATGCTCCAAAATCTGGAATTTTTGAGCACCAACATGATGTCATAAGTGGAAAATTCTATACCATGAAACTTCATTTCACATATAAAATTATTTAAAATATTATAACTGGTCCCAGTGCTTCATGCCTGTAATTCCAGTGATTGGAGAAGCTGAGGCAGGAGGATTGTAAGTTCAGGCCTGCCTCAGCAACCTTAGGGAGACCCTCCACAACTTAATGAGACCCTGTTTTAAGCCTGGCTGGGTGGTGCATGCCTGTAATCCCAGCAGCTCAGGAGGATAAGGCAGGAGGATTGTAAGTTCAAAGCCAGCCTCAGCAACTTGGTAAGGTCCCCAGCAACTCAGTGAGACCCTGTCTCAAAATAAAAGGGCTGGGGATATGGCTCAGTGGTAAAGCACCCATGGGTTCAAATCCCTACTCCAAAGAAAGAAATTAAGTTCTATCCCAAGATATTTCTATATCTATCTGTGTGTGTATACACACACACACACACACACACACATTACAAAATCTGAAACAATGCCTCAAGCATTTCAAATTTAGGGATACTCAGTTTGTACAGCATTTGGCATTTTGAAGCTATAAAGTTGAAGTTGCTTTTTCCTTCTAGTTTGCCTTTCTTTTCTTTTTTGCCAAGATACATTTGATTTTTATTTTCTGTTTTGGGAAAATTTTTAAGTCATTTATCATTTATTCCACTGTGTTTTTATTTGGCTTAAAGTTGGTATTGAATCAACCCAAACAAATCAAAGGCCTTTAAATCAAACTGGAAAAGGCTAGAATTGGGGGTTGGGGGGCAATATGTGAATGGAGAATTATCAACTTAAGCAAGTTTTTGGTAAAACAATGTATTTGGTGTTCTTATCCCTACATATTCATAGGATGGTTTTTTACTTTTTAAAAAACATTTATTGAAATATAACGTACATGGCTGGGTGTGTAGCTTGGTGGTAGAGCACTTGCCTACATGTGCAAGGCCCTGAGTTCAGTCCACAGCACCCTACCCTACAGCACCAAAAAAGAAAGAAATATAATTTACACACCCATGCCATTCACTCATTTAAACTATATATACCATATGGTGGGTTTTAGTATAATCACAGAGTTATGCAATCATTGCCATGGTCATTTTGTTTTCTTTTTTCTAGACCTGACATGCAGACATTGCATAAGCATTTTATCCATTCATCAATTGATGGATGCTTGGGTTCTAACTGACATCTGGATTATTTTCTCAAAAATAGTTACTAATTCAAAACTTTAAAATCATCTTGTACTTTTTTTTGCTTTGAAGTTGCTGAGTTTGATGCTTCTGTGGAATAAACAGCAAACAGTTGACTGTGTTGTTTTGAAGCTGAGAGAGGGAGATCTGGGCCAAAGCTAACATTTGGGAGCACTTGAGCACTTGAACAGTAACTAAGGCCAAGGAGTGGTTAGCATCATCTAGTTATATTTCAGTAATGGTTAGGAAAGAAGACAGCCTAGGTTAGTGCTCTGAAAAATGGCAGTATTAAGTGTGGTCTGTCAAAAAAGCCTACTTTTACTGATTACTGATTCTTTGTGTAGAGTGTTCTGACTTGCTCTGTGATGCTTTCCACAATTTGGCAGTATCTGTAACATTTCTGCCCATTCACCCTTTGTTAATAATAGCGTTTTTACTTCTAGAAATTTATCCTCCAAGTACGTAGTCTCCCAAGTAGGTAAAAATTTGTGTTCATCACTTGTATTTTCACATAATTGATTCTAGAGGGAAGAAAAGCATCCAAAATGTTTAAGACATGTAATCAGGTTAATCACTTGCATTTTTGTATCATCACAAGCATGTACTTGTTCTAAAAATAAATCATAAAGACAAGAAAATATGATTATTCATGATTTAATTTACAGATACCTGCTGCTTATATTTTGACATGTAATCTTATAAATGTTTTATATCTTCCTACATAGTAAACAGAGTAGATATGTCTTTTTTTTAATTAACTGGGCCAAGTATCCTGTTTGTGGTAAGGACTTCTCTTAACAGATAGGCAAAGTTAACATATAACTAATTTTAGTGTTGTCTTTGCAGTGTATGCTGATGGCAGCATATGTTTAGATATCCTTCAGAATCGATGGAGTCCAACATATGATGTATCTTCTATCTTAACATCAATTCAGGTAAGAGTGTGTTATGATATATCATTTTTCAGTGTACTGTGGGATACAGTCAGCTCCTTTAGGACAGGTGAACAAACTTACTTACCAGCACCTGGTAACTAATGGCAGAGCTCAAGTAGAAGCCCATGATTTTCACCTGACTGCTCTGCTCTTTGTTTTTGTTTTTAGAATTGAACCCAGGGGTGCTATTACATGTCAGTTGAACCCAGGTGAGCTACCTTCCCGGCCCTTTTATTGTTTGAGATGAGGTCTAAGTTGCCCAGGTTGGCCTTGAAATTGTGATCCTCCTGCCTCAGCCTCCCAAATAGCTGGGATTATAGGTGTGCTCCTGTGTACCTGGCTTACTTTTTTTATTTGTTAACCACATGAAATCCAGCCCACAATCCATTTTTTTTTTTTTTTTTTTTAAGAAAGAGTGTGAGAGAGAGAAAGAGAATTTTTTTTTAATATTTATTTTTTAGTTCTCGGCGGACACAACATCTTTGTTTGTATGTGGTGCTGAGGATCGAACCCGGGCCGCACGCATGCCAGGCGAGCGCGCTACTGCTTGAGCCACATCCCCAGCCCCACAATCCATTTCTTTTCAATTTGTTGAAGTTCTTTACACAGTTTATAATTTGTTGAAATTCCTTATGTTTTCCATGAGTTATTTATTAGTTTGTGTTTTTAGAACTTTCACAATCCATTTCTTAATGATGTGTTCTCATAGATCAAACTTACTCTTATGTAGCATAGCAGAGATTGTGAAGAAAATCTTGGAGAGAAATATAAAGATAACTGTTTAGAAAACCCTAAGAACCTTAAGAAAAAGTGCAGAGAAACATTGAGAATATTGTGCAAGAAATTCTAATAAAATTAAAAATCAACTAGATGCCGTGGCATACCTGTAATCCCAGTGGCTTGGGAGGCTGAGGCAGGAGGATCACAAGTTTGAGGCCAACTTCAACTTAGTGAAGTTCTAAGCAACTTAACAAGACCCTGTCTCGAAATAAAAAATAATAAATAATAGTAAAAAGGAGCTGGGATGTAGTTCAGTGGTAAAGCACTTCTGGATTCAATCCCCAGTTTAAAAAAAAAAATTAAAAATGAGGCGCCGCTCGCCTGGCATACGTGCTGCCCGGGTTCGATCCTCAGCACCACATACAAACAAAGATGCTGTGTCCGCCGAAAACTAAAAAATAAGTATTAAAAAATAATAATAATAAAATAAATAAATAAATAAAAATAAAAATGAGTGTAACCATTTGCCAGAACAATCTGGCCGAGTTCAGAGTTGACCTTGAAAAGCAGTTTTTCAGGGGTGTTTTAGTTATGCGTATTTGAGAGGAGCAAAAATAACATTTTGGTTTGTGACCTTTATAAAACTTTTTCTATATCACTTTAACTTAATCCTAGTCATATCATCTATTTTGTTCTCTTACTGCTAAATATATATGTTTTGTTTATCAAAAGAATAAAGATACACCCCCTTAGCCGGGTAAGGTGGCACATGCCTATAATCCCAGTAACTCAGGAGGCTGAGAAAGAAGGATTACAAGTTCTAGACCAGTTTCAGCAATTTAGTAAGACTCAGTTTCAAAATATAAAAAATAAAAAGGGCTGGGGATGAATGGGGTTTAGATCTAGGGATGTAACTCAGTGATAGAAGTAATTGCCTAACCTGTGAGGCCCTGGTTTAATCCCCAGCACTACTAACATAGTTTTATCTTTTGGGACCAGGGATTGAATCCAGAGGCACTTAACCACTGAGCCAGACCCCCAAGCCTTTATTTTAAGACAGGTTCTCGCTTAGTTGCCTAGGGCCTTGCTAATAAGTTGCTGAGGCTGGCCTCAAACTTGTGATCCTCCTGCCTCAGCCTCCTTAGTCATTGGGACTACAGGCATGCACCACTGTGCCTGGAAAATTTAACTTTTGAAAATATTGTTTACTAAAGATTTATAGGTATCATGTTAACCAAATTAAGCTGCTTATTTCTTGGCTAATGAAAATCTAAGTATACTAAAGAATATTGGGTTTTTTTTTATTTCCTTGAAATTAATAGGCTGAAGGCAATTTAGAATTGTGTTTTAGAAGCCTAAGTTCTTTTAATATTATTTTAGTTGTAGATGGACACAATATCTTTATTTATTTTTATAATTTTCATATATTCCATATTTAAACCTTGTTAGTTGAAAGAATGACAGTGCAAATCTGTTTTTTCTTCTTTTTCTTTCCAGTCTCTGCTGGATGAACCGAATCCAAATAGTCCAGCTAATAGCCAGGCAGCACAGCTTTATCAGGAAAACAAACGAGAATATGAAAAAAGAGTTTCGGCCATTGTTGAACAAAGCTGGAATGATTCATAATAGACAACTGGTCTGTTAATCTTTTTCATCATTGTTGTGTATAATTTACCTCCCAGTAGAAAGGCTAACAAATTTTAAGTGCCACAGGTTTTAAGGATTCTGCAGAAAAAAAGAAAAAAGTCCTTCAGTTTAGAACCTACAAAAGCTTGTGTATCTTGATTAATGTACTTTTTATTGCATGGTGTGAACTAAGTTATTGCTGCATAAATTTGTAATATATCCTGTTTGTATTTTTTTCCAAGTGTATAATGTTGGTGTGGAGTTTTCATGACAGAATATACACATTTTGTAAATCTGTACTTTTTTCAAATATTGAATGCCTTATTTTTGAATTCTTTAGATTTTTAAATTGGAGAAAAGCACTTAAAAGTTTTTTATATATGAATATTACATGTAAAGCTGTTAAAATACATAACTTCAGTGCAAGAGACTTTGTCACTTATTTCCTTATCTGTGTAGGAGGGGTTAATAAGTCTCTAGCTCTCCATCAATTGATAGTTTCATTTCCAATTTCAAAAGAACATTTCTATTTTATCAAGAAACTCTTCAAATTTGATTCTAAATACCAATTATAATCTCCAACTTTATTTTGAATGTACCTATATTAGTTCCAGTTGAGTAATTTTTAGATTGGTTTGATTGTGTCCAACTCTGTATTTAGGCCACTTGTTACAGTTTCTTGCATTACTTATGTTAAACTGTATACCTTCTGTGATTTCACAATTGGTCCTCTACCATGAGCAGAGAACTGATGCAGCTTTTTCTGCTACTTGGTAGCGCTTCAAAAGGTTTTTGACTAATGAAGAAAGTAAAACCATAAGCATTAGCATTTACCAAAAATACATGTCCCAGTATTAGCAATGAATTAGTTGCATTGATTTGAGAAAGACAAGATATTTGGAAGGAATCTTGGTGTAATTTAAATATTTGAAAACTACCTTTTAATGCAATTGCCTATCTGTTTATTCTGGGAAATGTTTAACACCAGGGCCTGCTGAGTTGCTTTCTCTTGTGGAGACTTTTTTCCTTTAAAATCTCCTCTAAGTTGTATAAAAGTTGTACTGCATCTTAGTTTACTGGATAAATTTAAAACACAGTATTGTAGAAAGCTAATACAAAGCTATCCTATGCCTTCAAATAGTATAGAAAATGGAAAATATACAAGTAAATTCTGTTGAACCACCTGTGTAGTCTCTCTAGTAGTTAAAACAGCTATTTCAGTGACCCCAAAGTTTTTTGTCATGTCCATACCAGTTTCGTAGAAATAACCAATAGCGACTTCTCTATTGGAAGATTGGGTTACAGGATAGCAATATCTACAGCCTCTATTCGTTAAGCAAAGTTTAACACTGGAATGGATAAGTGCTGATGTTTTCCTTTAAAAGTTATTGGCAAATTTGGGAGTAAGTGTATGGTCTTAGAGAACTTTGGTACAAATGGGAATTCACTCACTGGAATCATGGCCAAAAACAAGAGATGCTTTATTTAAAGGTACCCTATGGTCTTTATTAATTGTGTAATGCTTCTGTAGTTTAGCTGTAAAACAAATTATAGACCTTTACTCCAGTGATTCCCAATTAAATGTTATTGAATATTGCTTCAATACCTATTTTTATCCTTAACCTGTTTTTCTTTGCCCAAGTTAAAACTGGAACATTTCAAGTACTTACAGAGAATTACTTTTTGCAGGGAGGACAGTGAGTTGTGACTGCTCAATTCAACACATACATGAATCTCATACCTAATTCGCATAACTTGGAGAAAACCCTGAGGAGGGTTCCATCTCTTAGTAATTCCTGGATTTTTTCCTTTCAGCCTTAGAACAGATTCCTATTTCTTTGATTAAGTACCAGGTATGAACCTTCAATTTGTAAAGTTCTGTTATACAGAAAGTGTTTACTTTTAAAGTCTTATGTAAATTTCATAAATGTTTGGTATCCAATGATCTAGAACTATTTAGTTACAAAATTATATTGTTGGGTTAAGGTTTAAATGCATTTGTGATGCAATTCCTTGATAACAAATACTTCTAGCAGAGAACAATCTGCAAAGCACTATTGGAAGCACTTTAACATTATTTCAAACTCAAGGTAATTATAGGGTGGGTACTATTATATTACAGATGAGGAAACTAGGTAAGAGATGCGATGACATGGGCTGGGGATATAGCTCAGTGGGTGGAGTCCTTGCCTTTCATGTACAGGGCCCTAGGTTCAATCCCCAGCACCAAAAAAAAAGCAATGACATGACTTGTTCAGAGTCAACCAGCTAGTAAGTGATAGAGCTGGGATTTAAACCTAGTCTAATCTTATAACCAGTAACTGTATGATCCCTGAAGGGTATTAAGGGAATCAAGTTTACTTTTGGATGTTCTACTGCACATAGGTATTCATTCCAATTTGTGGAAATATTTCAGTTAGAGGTATACCCAGGCTTGTATCTATCCAAAAAAGAGGTCTTCTTGACTGCCATTTTTCACTTTTTTTTTTCTTCTTCAATGTAAATAAGTACAGTGTGGATATAGGGACACACTCCTGTCTCTGATATAAAGAACTGTGATGTATCAATAAACCACATCCCCCCCCCCCTCCTGGAAATATCCTTGAGTCTGTAGGATGCATCTCAAACCCAGTTTCCACTCCCAACAAAATCATTCCATTGAATGAATAACTTGGGGCTGGAGATGTGGCTCAGTTGGTAGTGCTTACCTCATATGCACAAGACCCTGGGTTCAATCCTCAGCATATATATATAAAAATAAAGCTATTACAGGTACTGTATTCTCTTTCTGTAGTTAGTGAATAGTACCTGCCTACTTGTTTATTCATTTAGTATGTTTTTTGTGCATATGTTGCTGAGGTTCGATCCCAGGAATTCACACGTACTTAACAAGTGTTCACCAATGAGCTGCCTGCTCCCCCAGCCCCATTTAGTCCTTTGGGATTTTTTATTTGTGTTTTGTTGAATCCAGAACTTTGCACATGCTAGGCAAGCACTCTATCATTGAGCTACATCCTCTGTCCTTTCATTTTCAGACAAGGTCTCACCAAGTTATCCAATCTGGCCTTGAATTTGTGATCCTCTTGCCTCAGCACCCTAGCAGCTGGTGCACACTACCGCATGTGGTTCCCATTCTTTAAGTTTTGTGACAGGGTCTCACTAAGATACCCAGGCTGTCCTCAAATTTGAGATCCTCCTGCCTCATCCTCCCTAGTAGCTTAGATTACAGGTATAGGCCACCATACCCACCTATTTTCTTTTCTCTATGCTTTGAACAAAAAAAGAGATGAGAATGTGTGCCCACTCTTTCAATAAATTTTCTTTAAAATAATTTTGTCAGGACTTTCTTGAGGCTTTAACATTTCCTCTGTTCATAGATGGATGAGGGATCTTTATCAGTGGATTAAGATGTTTGGGAAGAACCTAAAACAAATATTGTGCTCTCCTGAGAGAAAGCAGATAACCATTTTCCTGATTAGTGTATGTCTCTATGTAGAGGTGGTCATAAGTAGAATGTTTTCAGGGCTGGGAGATGTACAGAGCTCAGTGGTAGAGCATCTGTTTTATTTTAGCTTGTAGGAGGCCTTGGGTTCAGTTTCAAGCAGCACCACATAAACACAAATAAGATGCTTATGTAGGCGCTGGGATGGTGGCTCAGCGGTAGAGCCCTTGTCTAGGATGTGCGAGGCCCTGGGTTCAATCCTCAGCACCACATAAAAAAAATAGATTTTTTTTTTTTTAAAGATGCTTATGTAGTCTTTAGGGAAATTTGGCTGATCTCAGATAAGTCTTACCTGGAAGACTGATCAATAAAGTGCCACTGGGTTAGAAACTGATGTAAAGGGGACTAGACTGTCTCTGAATTGTGAACCCTTTAGTCATTCTTCCTGGAATGCAGGGAAGTTTCTCTACTGTGTCTTGAAAGCTGCCAGAATGAAAATATAAGAGCACTTAAAGCAGACCTCTTAAGAGCAAAGGGTTGGTTATGGCTGTTTCCTCTCTAAAGCCCCAAGGATAATGTAGCCCTCTTCTCTTCCCCCTTTACAAACAACATCTTCTGCCAAGAATACCACAGCCCACCAGCTGAACTGGACCAGCAGCACTCCTGAAGAAGAGAACGTCCAACACAGAGAGGCTTGCAGCTCTGGCTGGCCCCTATATAAAGTCATCTTAGAAAACCTGAGTTGGAAATTTTTATGGTTTGGGGTTGGTGCTAGTACAAAGAAAACAAGGAACAGGAAGCTGCTTACCTATTACCTTATTCCAAATCTGAAGGATACTTTGCCCTTCCCATGGAAAAGATGCTTTGGCTTGGCCTGATAACTGTACTGGGCAATGAATAGGGAGGACCCTAGGGACTAGCCCATGTCACCAACTTTAACTACATGCTTGAAATATCACTTCCAAAGAAAAGCTAAATTATAAGCCTTGCTATGTTGCAGTGGCCTTTGGGTATAGGACTGTTCCCACGTGAAAACAAAGCTGTGATTTCAGGTAGAGACTTACTGGGACATAAACTAGATGCATGCCTTTAGAATAGGGACAATGCCAGGGATGGGTACAAAGGATCTTCTGCCAGCCAGCAAGAAAAGGGGCAGCACTGAGGCCTGACAGTTGCACCTGGCTTTGATTAGCACTTAAACCACTGGTTTTTTGACAGGGGCTGGTGGTTCTATACAGTGCAGCTTGAGGCCACAATGAGCATGAGGAATCAGATTTTAAGAGAATCCATAATATGAGTGGTGGTGCACACCATAATCCCAGCAGAAGGATCACAAGTTTGAAGCCAGCCTGAGCTATTTAGGGAGACTGTATCAAAATAAAAAGGGCATGGATTATAGCCAAGTCCTAGAGCCCTGCCTAGAATGCAGGAGACCATGAGTTCTATCCCTAATATCTTAAGGAAAAAAAAAATACCAAAGCAACATTGGGAACTGCTTTCCTCATAGCCCATCTGCATGCACAGGCCTGGACTGGAGGCCTAAAGGATAGCAAAGGATCTTCAGGGTCCAAGCTCTGAGCCTTCTAGGGACACTTCTTACATAGCAGGTGTGCTTTTTGTTACAAAAACAGGAACAATCATGAAAGATAATTTGGTAAACACAAAATGGTAGAAGGAGACATGAGTCATTTTTCAACCTGAGATGTTGCAAACAGCTGGTTTAAGGCGAAACCATTGTAGCCAGGATGATGAGTCATAGTTGGTTTTACATGAAAAAAATAGAAGAGCTCCTATCACATAGCCATCATTGGAACATGGGCCATCTTTGCAGTGAAAGGAACATACCCACAGGCGGCACAGGCCCCAGATCCATAAGTATAGGGATCCTAAGATACATAATGTCTGGGAGTGGAATCTGCAGTGGCCACTTACAAGCTTTGGCAAGATTTGCCATCTGGTGACCCTTTTCCACCGGTGGTTTTGCTTCTGTCCCCTCCCCAGAGCAGGTTGGTATTTATTACTACATTGCTAATGGCCTACTCCCATTCATCAAATAGACATGGTCACTTAGTATCTAATGGGTGTCAAGTTGCATGTTTTGCCCTGCTCAACAACTGAAACTGAAAAGATTCACCTTTTGCATCTCTGGAGACAGAACTTGGTTGAGGAGGAGATTGTAGGCACTTGGGTTTTCTTTTGTGTAAATCTAAGTTAGGAAATTTTCCTATCCTCACAGCGTGGCCTCAGAGAGAACCCAGGGCAGGAATGAGGCAGTCAGAGCCCATAAAGTGCCAAGCATTTTTGAGTTTTTCCACTGAAGTTTCCAAATAAAACTGGAGGCTCCCCACTTTACAGATTCCTATACTGAAATAAAGTAACTCAACAGGAAGAATTTATCTCCCAGCACACACCTACTGTGGATAGGTCAGCATTCTTAGAACATGGCCAAAGGGAAAGGAAAACAACAGCTTTAGGAGGATGAGATTTTTTTGATGCCAGCTTCCATAGGGATGCAAGAGCTTTAGTCACCAGGCCCACACGGCTCAAGGTTGATGCCTTTACTGCCAATTGTCCCTTCATTAAACCAGGGGAGGGCCAAGAAGAGCAGGCCCCTAAGTGACATTTGCCAGGGAAAATGAGGTTGGAGTGCCATATTTAAGAATAATTTTTTGACTGACTAGCCTACAAGGCTGGAAAAGTAGAATGGAGGCTGGGACCAGCTGGGCTGTATTCTGAAGAGGCATACATGTCTAACAACACTGTCAAAGGAAAAAGCTGTGATTCACATGCCAAGTCTAGGTAAAAAATCAACTCAAATTTATTAGGAGCCAATAGTCTAATTTTTATTTTCAGATCCTTGATTTCCAAGAGCCTCTGTGTTTAAATGATAATCTCGTTTTGTTTGCAGTACTGGGGATTTAACCTGGTGGTGCTTCACTGGGTAGGAGATTGTAGGCACTTGGGTTTTTTTGTGTGTAAATCTAAGTTAGGACATTTTCCTATCCTCACAGTGTGGCCTCAGAGAGAACCCAGGGCAGGAATGAGGGTTGGTAATAGCTACATCCTGAGCCCTTTTTAAAATTTTGTGATGGTCTCACTAAGTTATCCAGAAGGGGCTTGAATTTGCTATCTCCTTCCTAAACCTCCTGAGTTGCTAGGATTACAGGTGTGTGCCACAGCTTCTGGCTCAGGTGATGGTCTTTTTTACTCCACCTCTTCAATGGCTCAGGCCCACCTCCATTACTGACAAGCACATGGGAAAGACTCTGCCCTACTGCTGACACTCAAGAGAAAACCTCCCAAACAAAAGTGTAAGAGTCAGTATGCCACCACCCAGCTCCAGGAGTCCTAACTTTCAGAAAGAGCACAGTGAATCTCAAGGAAAAAACAGTGTTGCCTGACTTACTTTTCATTTTATTTATATACATGCAAAATTACGGCAGACTCTTTTTCTTAGCAATGCACTCAGTAATTGTTAAAGCAATTTTGTTGACTAAATGTCTGTTTTAAGTTCTAAAACTCTTTCCTCTGAAGATCCACACTTATTCTTTCTCCTACAGAACCAAAAGGTATTGCTAAACTAGTCAAGAATAAGAGCCAGGTGAGGTGACTATAATCCCAGCAATTCAAGTTTTGCAAATTCAAGACTAGTCTAGGTGACTTAGCAAGATCCTGTTGCAATTTTTTTTTTAAGGTGGGGAGGGGAGCTGGGGGTGTACTTCAGTGGTAAGAGTGCCTCTGGGTTCAATCCTCAGTACCTGGGGCGGGCGGGGGAGATAAATGAGAGCCATGATTAGACATCATAGGTCACACAGGCCTCAGACATCCAGAAATTGACAGTCTCCTTCCAGACACATTCTGCTGGGCAAGACCCTTTATTGATTGATTGACTAATTTAGGTACTGGAGATCCTAAAATACTTAATCTCTTATTTTGTTTTGTTTGCAGTACTGGGGATTTAACCCAGTGGTGCTTCATCACCAGTGGCACTTAATCACTGAGCTATTACCAACCCTTTTTATTTTTAATTTCGAGACAGAGTCTTGCTAAATTGCTGAGGTTGGTCTCAAACTTGGGATTCTCCTGCCTTAGCCTCGTAAGATACTGGGATTACAGACATGCACAATTGCACCCAGTTAGCAGAAACCGTTTTGAACTGGAGAAGTGAGTTAACACAAGTCACCTGACAGAGTGATAGAAATCTCAAGACGGGACAGTATGCATTTACTACAGATACCAAAGCATCAGAGCACAGGCAATGGTTCCTCCCAGTGCCCACAGATAGGTAAGCCACTGTTCCAAGTGGATCTTGGAAAAGTTCAGAGAGAATCCTTACCGCTGATAAGGTAGAAGAATGATTGGGTGACTCTAAGGAATATTTCTGAAAGCAATTTTGTAGATATAGCTTGAATAACATGAAAGAGCATCACTGTTAGCTGAACATCTCAACTGTATAAGAAACAGAAAAGATACTCTCTCAGTCATTACTTGAAGGTTTATACTTTACCGTGTCCCTTCATATCATTTTACCTGTTCTCATCCCAACTCTTGGGCAGAACTGTATATGTAAAGGTCAGAATCTTGCAGCTTGCATGTGGTATGAGCTCCTGTTTCAAAGCCAATCATGGGCCATTTTACCTACACAAGGAATACTACAACACAAAAATTTGAATTTCTTTGCTATTTTCTTTTCCAAAAATACATGAAGAATGAAAATTTAAAATATTCACTTTATACATGAGGCTACTACCAATTGTAAAAGTAAGATGAGACCAGGCACAGGGGCATACACCTATAATCCCAGCACCTGGGGGTGCTGACACAGGAGGATTGCAAGTTCAAGGTCAGCCTCAGCAACTCAAGGCCCTAAGAAACTTAGTGAGACCCTGTCTCAAAATAAAAAAGTAAATTTAAAAAAGGGATGGGGATGTGGCTTAGTGGTAAAGCACCTCTGGGTTCAATCCCAGTACCAAAATAAGTAAATAAAAAGTAAGATGAGAGTTCAGGCTCAGTGGCTCACACCTCTAGCAACTGGAAACTGAAGCAGAAGGACCATATGTTGGAGGCCAGCTTCAGCAACTTAGCAAGACCCTATGTCAAAATAAAGGGGGCTGGGGCAGGGCGGGGGGGGGTTGTGGCTCAGTGGTAGAGCATTTGCCTCACTCGCATGAGGCCCTGGGTTCAATCCTTAGCACCACATAAAAATAAATAAATAAAAATATTGTGTCCATCTACAACTAAAAAAATATTTTTAAAAAAATTTTAAGGGCTGGGATTGTGGCTCAGCGGTAGAGTGCTCACCTCCCACATGTGAGACCCTGGGTTCGATCCTCAGCACCACTAAAAATAAATAAGTGAAATAAAAATATTGTATCCAACTACAATTAAAAATAAATATTTTTAAAAAATTTTAAATAAAAAGGGCTAGGGATATAGCTCAGGGTTCAATGCCCCTGGGGTTCAGTCCCCAGTACTACAAATAAATAAATAAATAGGTAGATTTATAGATAAATAATACACTTTAGTTAACTAGAGTGTAGAATTCTTTAAAAATAAACTGAAAGATAGGGCTGGCTGGGGGTATAACTAAGTGGTAGGGTACTTGCCTCACATGACCCAGGCCTCTGGGTTCAATTTCCAACACCAAAAACTAAGTAAACAATCAAACTGAACGAGATTAGGGAAAATCAATTTTTTATGCAAGGGAAGGCTATTTCATTGGAACTTACATATAGAAAATAAAATCCAAGGGCTGGAATGTAGCTTAATTGGTAGAGTATTTATTGCTTTACATGGCCAAGGCTCTGGGTTCAATCTCTAGCACAAAAAAAAAAAAAAAAAAAAAGAAAGAAAGAAAAATCCATGAGAAATCTATGGGAATTTCATTTTAAAAGTGAATAATCACACAGATGTTTTCACATTCTGTAATATAATTTTTTAAATCTCACACAAAGTTGTATAAATAATCAGAATGGAAATAATCTAGGCTACATTTGAGGGGGGAAAAAAACCAAGTCAAGGAGCACTGTGCTTGGCTTTCAAACTTACTCTCCTGATCCTTGTCATGCTTCTCTGTAGTAGGTATTTCTGTGATCTCCATTATTCAAGCAAGTTTAAGTAAGGAAAGAAGTAGGCTTGTCCAAAGTTACAGATCAGAGAGCCTGACTTAACTCAGTCCATCTCATGATCATTAGGGAGACTAGAACTGGAAGCTGCACAGAGATGTGGCCCATACAAGGGAAGATGCTTGGCCTTCATCCAAAAGTATAACTTCTCTGCCCACAGACACCAGCTCTACTTTATTTATTTACCAGCTCTACCTGTTTTCACCAATTAAGTTAAGGCAGGTTTCACAACTATTGCAAGTGCCTATCAATGATGAGTGACTCTTTCTGTGTTAGACTTACATTGCTACCCTCAAATGAAGCCCCAATCCCACTATGATTTGAGGTACATATGTAACAGTGGGAACTAAATAAAAGGAACAGGAAGAGGGTTCAAAACACGTACATTAATTAAAGGGAGAATATTAATTCCAAAATTTCAAAGCAGAGCAGATTTATACTGTATTTCTTGAGAGACTGTGCAAGATAGTTCCTCAAGTCTAGAAGACCCAAGTTTTACCCAGCAGCCTGGGAGACCTGGACAATCTACACATCATCTGGCTGGCTGGACAAAGCCAGAGAATCTCCTATGAGTGAATTTTACTTGTTTTTTGGGTTTTTGTTTTTGTTTTTTGTCTGCAGTGCTGGGAATGAAACCTAAGGCCCAAGAATGCTAGATAAGCACTCTACCACTGAGCTACACCCCTGGCCCGCAATGAATTTTAAAATAAGGCCAGATGCTATTTTTTTTTTTTTTTTGTACTAGGTATTGAACTCACAGGTGCTTTACCACTGAGCTAAATCCCTGGCCCTTTTTATTTTGAGACAGGGTCCCACTAAGTTGCTTAGGGCCTTGCTAAGTCGCTGAAGCTGGCCTCGAATTTGTGATGTTCCTGCGTCAGCCTCCCCAGCCACTAGGATTATAGGTGCACACCACCGCAGTGGGCAGCCAGATACTTTATTGTAGACTGCCTCTTCCCATGAGCTAGCTAGCTCATGAGTACCTTAGCCCACAATGTGATTCTCATTTCCTACACAAAGATAGGTATATAATGACAGTGAAGAACAGTATGGTATAAATAAGGAATTTCATATAGAAATAAGGAAATAAAAGATCTGATTTGCCTTAGTCAGAAAAAAAGGCAAAAAAAAAAAAAAAAAAAAAAAACCCAGAATCACACTTACAGGTATACTGTTGAAAATCCAAACTATAAAATTCATTACCTGCCACTATTACAACATTTACAAAAAAAGGACATCTTGAACAAAGGCTTATATGATGTTGACGAAATCATCTTGGAGTGCATGATTTATAAATACATAAATATCCATGCATACTTTTACAGTGGTAGCTACTGAAAGAATAATGACTTCTATAAGCCAATCTAGACAGATTCCTTTTTCATTCCAACTGCCTCTACCAGGAGTCTAGAGCTGCTGTGGTCACTGTCACATTCATTCCAGCCTCCTCTCTAAGCCTGTGGCCCATGATGAAAATGTGATACATCTTCTCCTTAGCTTTGATGCTGAGAGGGAAAAAAAGAAAAGGTTATATAGCCATGCAGTCCAGTGAATCGAATTCATCTTCATAAATTAAAATATAGCAGTGATATAATATTTATGTACTATCCAGATGGTAAGTCTACTCAGAAATTATTAATATTTTACTACATACAGAAAATTTAGCAAAACATTGACCACATCATCCATTTCGAAGCCAGAATCTAATTTTCTTTTCTTGTCTCTTGCAATCTATAAATGTTCACAATTTAAAGCGGTAACGGAAATACTTGAAATACACCTTCATGCTCTCCAGTGAAGGGTTCTAAACGCAGAATCACACAAACACTTTTTGGTCTAAATTAAAAGTAGTCAGATTCAGGTAGTAATTCACAACATCTCACACTGAGTCAGGGTATTTAGGAGATGTGAAGGTTATATATTTCTGGAGTTCACACTATTACAAACTGTAAAAGCATGTCTTCAAATAGTGGTGAACTGAAGCAGATATATTCTTTCTGGGGACTCTCTAGCACCTTTGGTAAATTTAAACTTGGCTTTAGACAAATTTTAAGCAGGGTGTGAAGAAATCACTTTGGCTGTCACCTTGTATTTGAGTGGATTTCCTTAACATTTAGTAATGAATCAATCTGAGAGTCTTTTGAGTAATCAGAGATTTCAAGGTATGACCTCTTTCTTAGCTAAGCCAGTCAGTCTTTTTAAGCGATGATAAAATGAAATTCCTCAACAAAAGCAAAATATAAGAAATCTTTCTCCTTTTGGAAGAATGCAGTATCACCTAAAAAAACCATCTTCGGTCTAAAGAAGAAAAGTCCTCTCAGTTCTCTCTCAAATTTCCAACAGGACAGACCCCCAACTACAACAGTACATCAGTTGCCACTGATATGGGTTGCTAAAAGTACAGTGTTTTGTTTTGATACTAGGGATTGAACCCAGAGCTTTACTGCTGAGCTACATCCCCATCCCTTTTTATTTTCTATTTTAAGACAGTTGCCCAGACTAGCCTCAAACTTGTGATCCTCCTGCCTCAGCCTCTGGAGTTGCTCATATTACAGGCATGCACCACCATGCCCAGCCACAGTACAGTCTTTTCCACAAGGTACTAGCAGTTGATTCAACCATCCTGGGCGGTAGATAAAAATATTGGCTTCTTTTGACTTCTAACAGATTAAAAGTAGTTTCACTGAGCATATTTTTTATCTTGAGATGTAAGATCTCGTATTAATGAGTCTGACAGGTTGAATTTGTTTTAAATACTCAGCAATACTTGTCAATACTTAGAACATGGCTACTCTCACCAAAGCATTACCTCAGAGCTTACCAAGACTGGGCATAATGCATAAAAAAAGTGCCTCTTGAAATGTAGGCACACTGGTTTTTCTAACTTTTTTTCCACATTTCATCTACGGTCCCTTTTCATCCTGCCGTTTTTCCTCTTGGGAATATACAAATATTCTCAGGAAAAATTGACCAAATAATTAAGTTGACAACTTGTTTGAGCCAGTAATGACAGCTTCCTAGTCAATCACTCCTTTCTCCGTTATTAAGACACTATCTTGGAAATATTAACTCTGACAGTCATGGCAATGCCACTCTTCCCTGAGTCAGCTGCTCCTCTTTGTTAATTAGCACTTTTTAACAGGTGAGCTAGGCAACCACACATGCTTCAAGCAGGTGCCTCTGGATAGTGGTTGGATAATCAAGATTGTTTGCTCAATATATTTGTATTTGAAACCCTCTTTCACAAGAGAAAATCATACACTGCAACTATTTATCAAATCCCACTGTCAAAGACCAATACTCATTTCTCACATTAAAAAAAAAAAAAAAAAAAAAGGTTGAACAGACCACAGAGATGTACTTGCCTCAAAATTGCAGAATAGCCAAAAAGTATTTTTAAAATCTTACTGAGGGCTTAAGTCTCTAAGTCATCATCACTGTCTGGCCTTGAGATACCAACAATGCCAGGCGATCATTTCCACTTGCTAGCTAGCTTTAAAACCCAACTGATCTCTAATTTTAGAGCTAAGAATCAATTCTGGGCAGTACAACAATGGACATTTTCAGGTGTGTGGCTTAACATCAGGGTTTTTTCCCCCACTCAGGGATGGCACTGTTGCCTAATGTTTCACAGCTTCTTCTACAACATGCAGAAACTGCAGATAAGGGACAAAACTGCTGGGTAGGCCCTGTGGCTCTTTCCAGTGGGTTTGCAGAGCGGCCTTCAGTGGAGGGGATAGTCATGGCACACAGGTGGATGGCCTGTTCTCAGGATGGGCTCATCTAGATGGGCTTTTGTTTTGTTAGTGGTGCTGAGACTGGAACTCAGAGCCTCATGAATGCTGGACAAGTGTTCTGCCACTGAGCCACATCCCCAGCCCCCTAGAAGAGTCTTAACTGCAAAACTCAAAGTACCCTCTAAGAATCTCACTTTTCAGGAGCAATGAATTTCATTTTCAGTATGACCAGCAGTTTAAAATTAAACTTGGTTACAAAGAAAACATTAGTTTCATATAAAGGAAGTTAAAACACACCTAATCCATAAAAGTATAGAATTATGGCCCCCATGCAGGCTTTTTCCAGGCAGCACTACTTTTAGAAATGATAAGCTCAAGCCTGAGGATTCTGCTCTGGAGACTCGCTTTATGTAAAGATGATATCAAGAAAGCATCCCAGGGCTGGGGATGTGGCTGAAGTGGTAGCGTGCTCGCCTGGCATGTGTGAGGCACTGGGTTCGTTTCTCAGCACTGCGCATAAATAAATAAAATAAAGGTCTATCAACAACTAAAAAAAAAATTTTTTTTAATTTTTTTTTAAAAAAAGCATCCCAGGGCATGGGCTCTACACATTTTTAAAGTGAAAGACCCCTTTACAGTTTAGACATATCCTGCCAGGCATGGTGGCACACACATGTAATCCCAATGGCTCAGGAGGCTGAGGCAGGAGGATCTAGAGTTCAAAGCCAGCCTCAGCAATTGTGTGAGGCCCTAAGCAACTCAGCGAGACCCTATCTCTAAATGAAATACATAAAAGGGCTGGGGAATGCCCCTGGGTTCAATCCCAGGTACCAAAAAAACCCCCACAGTTTAGACAGATCCATCCCAATGTATACACACTTCTATGGATAATGTTGAGGACATGAAAATCTCTTTAGTCTCTTTCTGGGATCTATAGCCCAAATATCATGGAGTGTTCTAATCTCTAATAGCCCAGCAGGACTGGAAAGAGTATAGCTACTGTTCAGAAAACCAAGACAGAGAAGTAAAATGGCTAACTAACATAAGAAAAGCAGATCTGAAGGATAGCCAAAAACGTCTTAGGAACAAAAACAAGGAAAGACTGCCACAAGCAGTTAGAAAATGATGGATCACCCCTGCCTCATGGGGTACAGTCTGACAGCCAGCAACCATCTAGCTCCTTCCTGGCTGGGCCCCCCTCACCACTCTGGAACACCTAAGGATTTTTTAAAGTATTATATGAAAGGCTCCAAAAAGTCCAAAACTACCAATTCACATGGCTCCCTGCTATATATTAGCAGCTGATTTTAAAAATAAAATAGCATCTCAAACACCAACCTGAATCTTCTGACCCCAGATTTAGATTAAAAAACTGAAAGAATGTTTTATTTTAAGAAAAACAAACCAGAAATCAAGTTTGGGACTAAAATGCCTTTCTAGGCAGCTGAGGATTCAACTATTGAAAAGAGGACCTCTTTATGTGCCCTGTCTCCTAAAACATGCCAATTGGGGTGAAACAAGAGCTTACCTATGTCTGAAGATACAACTAAAAAGAGGCCAGAAGCTCTTTATTGCTTTGGTTAATTTTGGAAGTATTTTCTGAGTGCCTGTTGCAGTTATAAGGACTAAAACCTCAGGCACCATCAACATCACAATCTGCTGGGACAAATGCCCCAAGGAACTTCAGAAGATAAGGGAGCAATTAGTTTTGCTACATGAGGAGACTGGGAAAAATGTGAAAAATGCATGTTTTGAGGGTTATTCTGGAAAAGTAGCTGGGAAACCCCACTGCATCTCCTCCACAGCCATATCCTCTCCATAGCTGCAGCTCCAGGGTACAGATACAAGACCCTAGGCAAGAGCTCACCTGTCCAATCCCAGAGCCTCAGGTTAAACCAACCCGGCAGACTAGGGAGCAGCTATGGGATCTGGACATTACTCTAGCCGCCACATTCCTTATCAAGTCAGAGAGGCCAAACAAGTCTGGTCCAGCCCTCACCTGAAGGGGCACTGATGCACTAATTTGTTACCAACAAGATTTTTTAACAATTGGGAAATTTTTGCACTAGTCTAGCCAACAGTTTCCTTAAAATCAAGAAAAAAACTTAAAATGGAGTGTACGTAGACAAACCAAAGAGGTTGAGTTTAGGTATTATTCCACCAACAATGCATAACTTATTAAGATGGCTTGTTAGCTAGTTATAAAAATGTTTATACCAATTGCAGGGAAATAAAACTGAAAGGGCATAGATCTATGGAATAATAAACAAGGTATTCAAAAACCAGTATGCCCCAGGGCTGGATTATAGCACAGAGGTAGAGTGCTTGCCTTGCATGTGTGAGGCACTAGGTTTGAGCCTCAGCACCACATGAAAAAATAAATTAATTAAATTAAGGTATTGAGTCCATCTACAACTAAGAAAAAAAATAACATAAAAACCAGTACCCCAATATGTGTCATCAAATCAGGGACCATTAAATCTACACTTTTTCATCAAATGCACTTGGATATCCTGTTTACCTTTTTCATTAATTCACTTCTGGTAGTAAACTGTGGCAGGTCTTCCACTTCAATACCATCAGCCATTTCCATCACCTTGTCTAGAAGGTCTTTATTGTAACTGCACAATAAAAAGTAGTACGGTAAAAACCTTGGAAGAATTACTAGTCACTGTGGGTTAATAAGAAATTGCAAGTTACTAGACTGTAAACTTAACTCTAGAAGTATTAATTTTTTCTTTTTTTAAAGAGACAAGAGTCTTACTGCTGGGCATGGTAACACACACCTGTAATCCCAGAAACTCAGGAGGCTGAGGCAGGAGGATCACAAGTTCAAGGCCAGCCTCAGCAACTTAGTGAGACCCTGTCTCAAAATAAAAATAAAAAAAGGTTAGGGATGTACTCAGTGGTAAAGTATCCCTAGGTTCAAACCCCAGTACGAGAGAGAGAGAGAGAGAGAGAGAGAGAGAGAGAGGGAGAGAGAGACAGACAGACAGAGACAGGCAGGCATAGGGTCTTGCTGCTGTCCAGCTGGCCTAGAACTCCTGGGCTCAAGTGATCCTCCTACCTCAGCCTCCTTAATAGTTGGGGCTATAAGCACAGGCCACTTTGCTGTGTTCTTCAGTGGACTAACTTGATACTGTTGGGGAAACCTATATATATGTTCAGCACAAGGTTAGAAAATAGTTCTTCCTCTTTTGGGGTACAGAATTAGGCTTTGGAAATGCCAATAAGAGCAGATGTTTCAAGATTTTCAAAAACAGAGGCACCATATGTCTGGCAGTACATATTCATGAATATGGTATGAGGGCAAAAAAATATTTTTTATTTTAAACATCTACAATGTTTGCCTAATGAAAACAGCATCATTTGTTCATTTGCTCCATTCTCTGACATACGTCTAATCTTGAACCTATTAACCAAGAATTCCCAGGGGTACAGAAGGCAGAAAGGAGAGAAGTGTGTGTCTGGGATGGGTGAATCTGGTATATCCTATTCTAATAAATCCCAATATCTGGGGTTGGGGGTGTAACTCAGTGCTAGAGCATGCGCTTAGCATGCAAGAGGCCCTGCATTCAACCTCCAGCACCAAAACCAAAACCAAAGCAAATCCAAGTGGGTTGACCTGGAGGGGTCATGTGACCAGAGTCAAGGTACAGAAACCAGCACCAAACCAAGTCATTCTATTCTAACTTCAAGAAACTGTAAGAGGGTAGAAGGAATCCTCAAGATCTCTGCCTTCTTCTTAATAGGGTCAAAAAAGGGTCAATCAGGCATTTCAAAAGCAGGACCTTGCTCTCTTGATGCAGTTGCCAAGAAGCAGTGGACTTTGGGACCTTGACAAAAAGATAAGTTCAAAAAAGTTCACTAAAGGGAAGGCAAAAAAGTAAACCTAGCTCCTGCTCAGGATCAAATAGTCTGGGGTTTGGGGAGACAAAGTCCTGGGACACAGATCCTACCATTGTGGTATAAAATCTACCAATCCTGCCAGAAGCTGCATGCCCTACAAAAATCATTTCCTCTCTCTCAGCCTCTTCATCTGATGGCGGGGGAGTCTTTTTCAGTCTATGCACTTCTGCCTCGTGAGTGAAAGGAGCAAATGGACTTAAAACGCACTCTGAAAAGGTAGTGATCTGAGCTAGTAATTAGTAATACTGATAACAGCAATGTGGCAACTCTCGAGCCCACCATGTACTAAGCTGTTCGTCTTTTAATTCCTGTAGCCATCATAACCACCCATTTACCAGATGAGGAAACTGAGGGTCAGAAAAAATTAAGCATCTTTCCAAGGGGCTGCAAGGTGGAAAGGAGCCGGCGGAACAGCCAGTGCGATGGGAGGTTGGGGACCGGTTCAGTCTGGGACAGAGGTTTTGGGTCAGAGGGCTGAGGGTCGGCGGGCAGGGAGCAGGGTCAGCCGGCCGGCAGGGGTCCGCACCTGCAGCCCAGGAAAAGATGGTTGGCCCAGACCATGGAGAGGGACAGCAGCTGGTCCAGGCGGCCGCCGCCGTCGGGCGGGTCGCGGTAATCAGGCAGGTGGCGCAAGATGAATTCCATGCGGGCCTTCCATTGCTTCTCGCTCTCAGAGTAGGAGCGGAACTGCTCGGCGAAGTCGGCCGCTTGCCGCACCCCGGAAACCAGCTCCTCCACCGCTGCAGCCGCCTCGCCACCCACCATGGCTCGCGCTGCAGCCGAGGGCCGGATCCTCCCGCCGCTTTCCCGACGCACACCGCGCCACCGCCCGGCTGCTAGAGGGGCCCCGGCGGCACGCGACTGCTCTGGAGGACCGGCCTGGAGCGCCCTCGCCGGGCCCGGCGGCGTACCCCGGCTCTGCCCGCCGCGCCCGAGGCTTCCCTCACACCTCCGCAGCCTGCCGCGGCTGCGGAGTGGGTGTACTCTGGACTGCAAGGGCGGCTCGGGATCTACCCCACGGAGAACCGATGGGAAAACTGAGGTCGGCCAGTGGAGTCCAGGCACCCCCACCTCCAGTGGGCAGCTGGATGCCAAATAGAGCTGTGCTGTGTCCTTTTTGCCCTGCGAGGTCTCCAGGCACCGCCCTATCCTGAGCGACAGCAGAGGCCTGTGCCACAGAGGGATGCCCTAATTTCTGGGGATCTATACAAATAGCTGCCTGGGGTCTCTCTTTGATCTATTCACAGGGGTCTTAACACCCCACTCAGGTTGAGGCCTGAAGTAAGTAATCCATCCAATGAATACTTGCCAGACGCTTTGCTAGGTGCTGAGGATAAACTAGAGCAAACTCAAAGCCCTGCTCTGGCAGTGCATGCCTGTAATCCCAGCGGCTGGGGAGGCTGAGGCAGGAGGATCACAAGTTCAAAGCCAGCCTCAGCATTTGAACGAGGCCCTAAGCAACTTAGTGAAACCCCTTTAAGAAAGTAGATACGCATTCAAGGGATAATACAGGCCATCTCAAGAGTAAAAGATAGTTTGGGGGGATTCTCAACTCTTGGGGGGGGGCAGTATTTGGGATTGAACCCAGGGACACTCTGCCACTGAACTACATTCCCAGACCTTGTTATTTTATTTTTGAGACAGGCTCTCACTAAATTGTCCAGGCTGGATATGTAGGAATGATATCAGACTGGTGATCTCAAGACGGGTTCTGGTGGTTTGGTCAATCTCTTAGGCTAATATGGTCTTCATTATCTTATCAATAGATAGCACTTGAAAGTCTCCTGAATTACATGTTCCTCAAGCTATGGTATCTCTCTTTGCTTAATCTCTTTAGGGTGATAATTAACAGTGCACAGGTAGATTTACAGATTTCCCAGGAATTTGGGAGTAACAGGCCTGGAAGGGAAGCGGATTTAGGGAATGACAGAACTTCTGAATCCAAATCTTTTCCTTGTCCTTCCTATCTACCTATTTCTTATTTCTTCTACCTCATGAGGGCTAGCACCAGGCTCAGCAACATCTGACTACATTAATAGGAAAGCATGCTACTCATACTCCAGCAAGAAGAGGCGTGAACAGAGTATGAAACCAAAGACAGATACAGCTTCTTCCCTGCAGTCTAGATTAGGTGCTCAGAGCTACAGTTCCCAAAATGCAGATCACACTTCCTTATAGTCTTATTAATATGGCAGATTCCCAAGCCCACCCCTGCATGCTCAGAATCAAGGCTCCAGACAATTCATACCAAATGTGAAAAGCATTCAATAAACAGGAACAGTGGCAAATACCTAGAGTTCAGGGCCATCCTGGGCATCATATTGAGATCCCATCTCTAAAGAGAGAGAGAGAGAAAGGAAAGAAGGAAGGAAGGAAGGAAGGAAGGGAGGGAGGGAAAAACAGTGTTGTCGAGGATTCTCTGAGTCAAATTCTTGGTCACCTGATTATACGGTGCAGAGGATGGACCAGAAATAGGAATCCAGACTTTGTGAACTGCAGCTACAGCTATACAGTCAACCCAACCTATAGGATGGGAAAATACTGAGGGTCATGCAGCAACTACTTTATTTAGCACAGTCTTTGGCAATCAATGATGCGGCATATGTATATACATACACATATATGCAAGCAAATTTAGACATGTGTTTTAAGAATGAGAAGCACATTAATAGGCCAGGCACAGTGGCACATGCCTATAATCCCAGCAACTCAGGAAGCTGGGGCAGGAGGATCACAAGTTCAAGGCCAGCCTCAGAGATTTAGCAAGGTCTTAAGCAACTTAGTGAGTCCCTGTCTAAAAATTTAAAATAAAATGAAAAGGGCTGGAATGTGACTCAGTGGTTAAGTGCCCTGGTACAAAAAAAAAAAAAAAAAAAAAAAA